TTATACTATTTATTGTGTTTTCATTGTTGGTTGCTGCATTGTTTATGTACTATACTGTAATATAAGTCAGAGCATGGACTATAACTATATACGTGGTATGTATTGACTGTACAAAATACATGATGATGTTTTTCTGACATATGCATTTACATTACAAACAAACCATCAACATACCTGTGAAGAAGATTAAGTCTAAAGCTGAAATGCGTCAGTCCACATGTAATAATGTGTCATAGTTTGACTGTATTTTATATAAATGTGATGACAATGTGTGATGTGAAGTGGTTGTCACATAGGCTAAGCTTGACCATTTACATTATCAGGCATACTGTGTTAAAAAAAAATCTTTAAATTATATTTGTAATAAAATAATTCTAGTTTTAGAATTTGTGTTTATTTTTTAATTTCTTTTTGGTTTCTAAAAATCCCATTTTCAATTTCTTGTTGTTTAGATTCTGCTTTGTTGTTTTGACTTGCCATGGCCTGGATTTGGGTTTTCATTTCTGTGTGTTGCTTGTCCAACTTGTCTCCCTGATCCTTTAACTACACTTTCTGCCATGTGCTCTGGCCTCTGACCTATAATTTGCTTGACTCTGATTTGGGACTTCCCCTGGTTGTAAGGGAGAGGCATTCTCATGGGATGCAGCCTGGGAGTGGTCTAACAGGCAAAACCATATTCACCATGAGGAGGGCTCAGTGAAGATCAGGAAATTCTAGGACATACAATTCAGTAATAGCTACCACAGAATTTCCAAGAAATCCATTAAAACATTAAACCAATTTTTGTACAAGTGAAGCAAAGAATGGGGCTAAAGAAAGGTCCAGACTTACAGACTTTAAAAAGAAGCCATAGAGATATACAGTGAACCCTGTATACAATGAAGCAAAGAGCACACAGAATGACAGTATTATATCTAGTTGGATACCTTGCAGTATATAGTCAAGTCTCCCACTGCACCCCTTTACTGTAAAGTAAAAAGGCACCAAAGCAGCTTAATAGAATAGCTGATTCAAATTGCAACAAATACCCTGGAAGCTACCAAACCTTGTGTGAAAACATTATTTCTTAGGAATGTGTGCAAGTCAGCTTGGCAAGCTGTGATCCATCTCTGGGGCCAGGCTGGTTCACGATCAGTCTTTCTAGTAGCAGTAGTGATAAGTTTCCACATTTTCTGATAAGCTAAATTTCTCATCTTATTTACTGAGGTGTGTTCCTCATCCTCATCATTATATTAATAAAGGTAATTAGGTGACATCCTAAATAATAGATTTATTCAGTCATTGAATTTAAAAATTAAAGGATAACTTCACCTATTAACAAAAAATAATAGTTTTTGTTTTGTGAGCCTGTAAAACATTGCACCAGTGATTAGCAGTTTGCTGGTGCCGAGCAGTACTCCTGCAGACCTGACAGTGTATCTGTGTGCCCGTACATTGTACAGGCAAGTAGATACACACTAACAGGAAGAATCAATGAACTACCTAGAGTGTTCAACAACACTGTAGTAGTGAGAGCTACAAGCCGACAGCTGCAAAGGCTGTTGGAACTTGTAATTTTCTCATTCATAGAATACTGTGAATGAGTGATGCGGCTGGGTGGGCAGAGCCCCTAATGGCCACTTTTTTAAAAAATGTGCCAGCTAGGGGGGGAGAAGATCCCTTGCTAGCTGTCACAATAGGGGATCAGGGAGAGTGGGGGATGGTCCTTTCATAACATGTTACACCTTGAATATGAGTGTAATATGTAACATGTTTTGAAAGGTGAATGTATCCTTTAAACTATGCAGTTAGTTGTCCCCATTGGAAGATCTTTCTTAAATCCAGTTCAAAACTGAATGGAAACCCCCTCTTAGACAGTTTTTACCACAACAAGAAATAAATAAAATGCCGCTTATCTCAGTGTGGGTCTGGACCCGTGGATGGAGAGGTGCCAGGACGCCTCCGGACAACCAAAAGTGCCTGGGCCAGCTTGGAACGCACACAAGGAGCATGTGACTTCACAGGGGCAAGGTTCAGTGCCTTGCAGGACAGGCTACACGTTTGGAGCTCTCTGCTCCTTCTAGAGCCCTGGAAGTACACATAAAACCAGAGGTAAAAAATGCTCTATGTGATGCAATTCTCAGCAAGCAGGGGAGTAGAGAAACCAGCGGCCATGGCTGTGTCCTTGGCGACAGTGTGCTCTAGGCCACTGCCTAGTTCACCTAGTGGAAGTACTATCCTTGGGTGTTTACAGCATTTACTAGTTCATCATAGTGATGGATGACTGGGAATGTGGCTGGGGGTGGGAACAGGAAAGCGTTGTCATTACTCAGAAATGTCAGAATTTTGACAGTTCATCCTCTGGATTCACATTTTAGTGAGTGACTGACCTGAAATAAGTATGTGAATGTAATATCAGAACTCTTAGTCTGCAAACCTGCTCCATGTCAATACCTTACTGGGGTTGATTTACTAAAGGCAAATAGGCTGGATTTGTCCCAGAGTTTAGTAAATGTAGTGAAGTTTCACTTTGAAAAGAATACCCAATCACATGCAAGGAAAATAAAAAAAAAAGCAATTTTGCTTGTACTTGATTGGAAGATGGAAGTCAGCAGAGCTTCGCCTCATTATATAAGCTCTGGGACAAACACTCTTACAAAGTGCAACTTCTTTTGCAAAGCGAACAGTCTATTTGTCTTTAGTCATTCAACCCCAATGCAATGTAGGCCTTCCTTGATCACTCAAAGGAAAGGGATATCTGGGAAAAGGTATGACATTATTTAAAGGATAAGTTCACTTTAAGAAAAAAAATGTGCATTTACTATTTTTTTTTTTTTTTTTAGAGTCTGGAAAACATTGCACCAGAGATCAGCAGCTAAAGCTAAACCTAACTAGTATTAAAATGCCCCCACACCCCCACAAACACCTATGCTGACTAACTTGTGTAAGAAAGATGTATATATTCAGATTTGGTCTTGCCACGTGATCTGGCTCCCTTGTGTTAGCCAGTGGTGGTTGCAAGGGGGAGGAGAGAGAGTTCAACGACGGCTAGTAAAGCCAGGCTCCTATGGCTCATCCGTTGTCTCTGCTCCATCCTCTCCTCTGCAGCCACTGCTGACTGACACAGGGGATCTGATTCATATGAACAGACCGGAGTGGACTGAAAATAGGTAAGTACATAAACCTTTCATACACAGGTTAGTCAACATAGTTGTTAGGAAGGAACAATTTTAAGACTACATAGGTTTATCCTGGAATTCTACTTTAACCCCTTAACTCCAGCACCTCCCATCCCTTAAAGGGGTTTCTAAAGCTGGGAGGCAAGGCGGGGTTTATGATCATATGATTGGCTGTCACAGTGATCACATGATTGGAAGGCTCCCAATCGTAAGCAGTGGTTGGGAGCTTTCTGTTAGGTGCCAGTAACTGTGCCGGGAGCACCAGGGCACACGCTTTTGGCACAGGTTTGATTACAATTTGTTGCACAAATACGTTGCCGCTCAACGTCAAAGCTGACCCACTGAGAGGCCACATATTTGCATAGTCTCAGCGCAAAAGAGTTCATAAATAAACCAAATTCAAAGTGGACCTTCACCCTGCCGCAGCACTCTCCTCCTCTGCAAAGCACACCCCCACACCCCCCCTCGCAGTAGTTTTTTGTTTGTGTACTTACAGGTTTTTTTTGCTTCAAAGGATTGGCCCACCCCCCAGCTTCCAAAATTTGCCTAGGCGAATGACACAGTTCCCCCGGCACCTCCTGGGATGCATGATGTGCAGTTACATTCAGTAAGGAGGAGGAGGCGGGGCTAGTGGTGCCTGCACCCAGAAGAGCCACAGACAACATGGTAGCGCCGGACCTGGGCAGGGGCTGCAGAGAGGAGGATCTCAGGTAAAAAAAGGTAAGCACGGAAAATAAAATGGGGAGAGGGAAAAGGCTGATGTTCCTTTTTAAGTGGTAGGGTCAAAAAACAGCAGACCTCCAATACCTTCTAAATGAATCAGCAATGTCAGGGATACCATTTTCTTACATTTTCGCTTCCTAGTGCCTTTCACTAGGTAGTAATTCTTTTCCATTAAATCCAATTATTTGACTTCAATTGCCTCTTAACTTTATTTTTGCAGCATCTAAGTATATTTCACAATAACCTGTAACTCACGGAGTGTAAGCTTTAGAGGTCATCCATTCTTGTTATTTCACTGCCAGCTGCAATAACTAAATGAAAGCAATTACACAGCAGTTCCCTTCTCCTTATGGCTGTGAGTCCACACTGACCAGTCCTCAATGAGCTCATCAAACTTCCAGAATCTCTCTGAAAACATTGACACGTCAGGAACTCCACGTTGTAAAGCTGATCTAAAGTTCAGCAGGCTGGCTTGGAATAGAGTCAATACATAGGGCACCTCCAATATAAAGGACAGACTGTAGCATCACTATCAACATCAATCCCAAGTACCAGGCTACAGGTAAGGGGAAGGAAGGCTAGCCCTATTACACAGGGGCAAGTTTCATCTTAGTCCATGAGAAATGTTTTGTTTCCTGAATATTTTTCAGCACTTTTTACATTTCAGGTAAGGGAGGGGGGCTTCATTATTCTGCTGTTTTAGCATCCAGTTAAATTCTTTTTAAGAATATGAAACTATTAATGATATTGTGCCATTATTCACACATGTTCACATTTTAGTTTACTAGTTCAGTGACTCTTAGCTTTCAGGGGTCCAGAACAGCAAACTTGGGTTTCGTGTAACACTGGTTTCCACATCATAAAAAAAAGCTAGACTTCTGAAGAGGGTCAGTTAACCCCTCTTCAGTTCAGAAAGGTACAAATGCACAAGAAATATTACTTTAAGGTTAAAATAACAACTGTAACTTAATTATGTAAAATAGGGTTAGCTTTTATACATGTGAGAGTCATTATTCCATTGTACAATATATACAAAAAATCTTAATTGTTTTACATTGCTATTTTTCTTTATATAGATTTCTATTACTGGGGAACACTTGGCTTTCTCAGCGAGTCAACATGTTGGTGAAAGTTGCAGCACTCGCACTTCTTGTGTGCACCTTCTCAGGTCAGTAAAACCCATATGTCTTCATGGTAATATTTTTGAAAAGGCAAGGTGAAATCATGTCTAAGATGGAACATTCTGGGTGTATTCTTGGATAGACTGGTATTTAAGTTTACTACATAGTTTTCATAGTGTTTACACTGGTATATATTATCACAGTTAAAAGGGGATGGAATTTAATACAAGGGAAGGGCTGACTCCTCATGGGTGGAGCTAGTAGCAAAAGTACGTCCCTGGCAGCACTTTAGAAAGAAACACTCCTGGATATGGATAATAATGAATGTAAAGCTGAGTAGAAATTAGAAACTTACATATTTTAGTATCCCTCTCTGTTCACATTATGTATCCATACTGTATTTCCCAGTATCATCTGCCTTACTTTTTGGGTTTTCAAGAATTGGAGTTTTCACAAATTTATGTTTTTTTATTACTATATAGGTGTTAATTTTGTGGGGATATCTGCACTATTTAATAAAATTCTATGTTTTTATTTATTTGTGTATGAAGACACAGTATTAATTTAGTGCAGCACATTTTGTTTATATATTTTACTTTTCAATCTATTTATTGATTACCTCTATAGAAGATCTCAATATTTCTAACATATGTTTAAAATATTGTAAAATATGCCCTTTTTAAATCACCATTGTTGGCTATTTTTAAATATTCTATCATTTATAACTTGCCAAAATGCTGATATGCACAGACCCACACACCCAATATCTGTAACTATAGGCTGAAAATGCAAAATTGATATATACTGTAGCTACCTAGGGATAGTAATAAAACTCCAATATATGCTCATTCTTTCCTGAAGACCTTATTGCCACTATAGTACCATTTCTAAAGCTGTGAAATGGAGTGTGAAAATAGGTTCAGCGAAAGCCTTCTCATAATATACACATTGAGGGTTCTTCTCAAAACTGGGATTACTGGAAGCCTTCTCATGAACAGAAACTGCATGAAAAGGGCTGCTGATCTTACTATTTACTAGACAATGTGATTTAAAGCCCAGATTAACTCAGGTTTGGGTGCCTCAGTGCCAATCACCACCTCTATATGACCAATACTGATTTTTTTAAATACATTTACATACATTAAACTATCTTCTGGCCATCTTTATTTAAGTTGTTTATAGTGCAGTAACATATAACAACCAATCTCTGTATATGGGAGCTCTTTAAGTAAATAAAATGTGAGTGTTTTTTATGGGCTACTGCACCTAATACTTGATCTAGCCACTGCTTTATTAGATAAGGCAATTTAATGTGAGTTTCTATGTCTGACAATAGATTCTTCTCTACCTTAGGATCTCAGGCAGAGGTCAACACTGACCAGGTATCCAATGCTTTCTGGAAATACTTCACTCAGCTGACCACTGGCACCAAAGACACTGTAGAACAGATCCAGCAATCTGACATCAGCAAGCAACTAAAGTAAGTGAGAATAACTGTAACAGCCTCAAAGTGTTAGAAATCAGTAGAACCCACTGGATACGTTATTTGGGCATTACTGTACATAGCATTTATCATCTCTTTACAAAAAATGATAAGCTGCTTGCCCATCGGCCTTTCCTGTAAACAGGGTTGCAAGGGTTCTGACAAGTAGGGGGTTATCTGTAAAATAATTTTCCTTGTAATTTTATTGGGGTATAGTATTGTGGGTTGTGGGCTCGCAATATGGTGTATGACCTGTCCTACTACAAGCAATCCCTAGTGACAATAAATTTAGCAACAGCTTTTTTGCCTCTGGTGGTTATACCTAATGAACCTGTAAATGCTCTGTCCTCCGGGAATGGAATCTTTACCTAACCTAAGGTACCAGCTTGATTATCATAATTTTTGTCAATAATATTCTTCTTGCACTAAGCCTTAATTTCGTTTTTGTTTTAGAATAATTGATCTTTTCCAAATATAGTGATCTCCTATACATTTCTGGGTGCTGATTTATGTTATAAGTTTGTGTTTATAAACCAAAAACAGTGTAGCGCAACCAAAAAAATATTAAAATCATATATAAAATCAATAATTAAAAAAATAAAGTGTCCATAAATCCAATCGAAGATTTCATAATTGTCCCAGAATCCAATCACTAAACAGTGCTTGTTATCAATCTTCTTAGCATAACACCCATGTGTCAACCAACTTCACCAAAATAATTGTCCGCTGACAGCCAGAGTTTGACCCCTGAGCTAACAGTAGGTCAGAAAGCACTTACCTTTTAAGGAAATAGGTTCTCATTATTGCCCAAAAAGCGTTTTTTGACCTACTGTTTCTGGTGGGGGTCGTTGACACGTGTGTAAGAAGATTCATAACAAGCAGTGTTTGGTGACTGAATTCTGGGACATTTATGAAATCTTTGATTGGACTTATGGACACTTTATTTTTTGATTTATTAATTGATATATGATTTGATTATTGTTTTGGTTGTGCTACACTGTTTTTGGTTTATGTGTATATAGAGCGTTATGGAAAAAGTCTTTAGTGTTTAGCAGAGCATCCAATATGGATTGATATACAGAATTTTTGTTCATAAGTTTGTGTTGTCTGTATATTAATTATGGATGTCACACCTTATAGAAACTATTACCACCATTTCATATTTTTATCACTGTAACATTAAAACACATAGTGTAAGTAATCAGGACTCAACAGGCTTGTATAACGAGTGATTGGCTTTTTTTTTATCTCAAATTTTCTTAGTTTTTATTAGAATCATACAATAAAAATGCACAGCATAGCAGGTAAATCTACATAAATGTTGCACAGCGGGCACATTGCGGTTATAGTGTAGGCATAGAGTACCATTAGTTTCAATAAAGTTTTACACTCAATGAAGTTGAGTTTACTAAAGGCAACAAGGCTGTTCAGTTTGCAAAGCATGGAAGAAACATTTTGCAAGGGAATTTTCCTCAGAGCTTAGTGAACGTAGTAAAATTTCACTTTGGAAAGAATACCTATTAACATGCCAGGAAAACAAAAAAACTGCATTTTTGCTTGCACATAATTGGATGCTACAGTTAGTCAGCAGAGTTCACCTCATTTACTAAGCAAAGTCCTCTGCAAAGGGGAACTTCTCTTAAAAGAGAACAGTTTGTCTTTAGTAGGGTGCAAAGTATGCCTTCCTTGATCCCTCAAAGGAAATGGATATCTGGGAAAGGTATGGAAATATTATTTAACCACACGGTGATTAAGGTGTAGCTTTCAAAAGCCTTTCAATATAGTGTGTGTTATTAAAGCTACTGTTTTAGAGTTTGAATGGGCTGCTTTTTTTATGGACAGATGCATTAAAGAAATTTAGATGTTGCTATTGCTGGCTTCCAAAGCTTAGAGTTCTTGCCAGAACAAGAGTAGAGGGGAAATCTTGTAATGGAGACATTCGTTGTAGAAATTTAGAGTATAATAAGGCATTAATGAGATTTATAGAATGTAAGAAGGCATTTCTGTTACTTTACCTTCACGTCTTGTTGTGCCTACAGGACGGCAATGAAGGGCAATCTACACAATAGGGCACAGCAAAAACAAAAGAAAAGTTTTGTCTTCAGATATACTATAACCACTTGCCAACCGCGCTATAGCCGAACGACTGCTATAGCATGGTCGTCCAGTTCTAGGAGGGCATCATATGATATCCTCCCAGAACACGCTCTCCCGCGCACCCCCAGCAGCGTGCACCCGGCGATCTCCGTGATCACTGTGTCCTATGGACACAACTGATCACGTGATGAGGTAAAAGGCCAATCACAGTGGCCTTTTACCACATGATCAGCTGTGTCCAATGACACAGCAGATCACTGAGTAAATACAGTTGCTGGTTTCCGGATGCATTTTACTGAGGATAACCAGCAACTGTCACAGAGCAGGTCAGCACTGATCATCAGGGCACCGATGATCAGTGCCCTGATGATCTGTGACCTGCAGTTCCGCCCATGTTTGCCGCCTATCAGTGACTAGCAGTACCTCCCACCAATGCCCAGCAGTGCCACCCACCAATGCCCAGCAGTGCCTCCCACCAGTGCCTATGAGTGCCCACCAGTGCCACCCATCAATGCACAGGAGTGTCACTCATCAGTGTCGACCAGCAGTGCTGCCCACCAGTGCCCAGCAGTACTGCTCATCAGTACTCAGCAGTGCCGTCAGTCAGTGCTGCCAGTAAGTGCTGTCAGTCAGTGGTGCCCATCAGAGCCACCCAGTGCCAACTATCAGTGCCCATCATTGCTGGATATCACTGCAGCATCATCAATGCCTCCTCATCATTCCCACCAGTTGTGCCTCATCAGTGCAGCCTATCAGTGCCCATCAGTGCTGCCTATCCATGTCACCTCATCAGTACCCATCAGTGTTGCCTATCAGTGCCCATCAGTGCTGCCTCATCAACATACATCAGTGAAGGAGAAAAATTACCCATTTGTAAAATTTTAGAATAAAACAAAGAAAAACTCCTTTTTTCAAATATTTTTCTCTTGTTTTGTTTATAGTGCAAAAAATAAAACATTCAGTGGCGATTAAATACCACCAAAAGAAAGCTCTATTAGTGTGAAAAAAAAGATAAAAATGTCATATTGGTACAGTGTTGCATGACTGTGCAATTGGTATTCAAAGTGTGAGAGCGCTGAAAGCTGAAATTTGGCCTGGGCACGAAGGGGGTAAAAGTGCCTTGTAGGCAAGTGGTTAATGTTATCGAAATTTTTTAAAATGTGTAAAAAATCCTATAAGCTGACCTGTAAATGGTCACTACAGGTCACACAATGGGGTTGATTTACTAAAGGCAAATAGACTGTGCACTTTGCAAAGAGCAGTTGCACTCTACAGGAGCAGTTGCTCCACAGCTTAGTAAATGAGCAGATCTGCTGACTTCCATAATCCAATCATGTCCAAGCAAAAATGGTGTTTTTTATTATTTATTCACAAACATGCTGCAGTTTCTGCTTTTGAAGGTTACTCTAATGTACGTTATAAACGCAAAAAATGTGCATATAAATTACCAATAGATGAAATAGTGAACACACTTGATTTAGATAAATGTGGTGTTTGATTCCTATTTCTCTCCCTACAGTGTTTTAATTGAAGAAAACCTGAAGAGTGTAAATGTGTATGCAGGGGAACTGCAGAAACAACTTATTCCTTTTGCTAAGCAAATACATGACAAATTAACACAGGACTCAGAAAAACTAAGAGAACAAATTAAAACTGAGTTGGAGAGGCTTAAAGAGAAGATCTCCCCATATGCAGATGAGTTGCACACGCATCTGAACAACAATGTCAAAGAACTTCAGATTAAACTGGCTCCATATACAGAAGAGTTCCAAACCCAACTGGACAAAAATACCCAAGAATTAAGCCAACAGCTAAAGTCTGTGACCAGTGACCTGGAAGCTAAGTTCAGAGAAAATGCAGTCCATATACAGGCAACACTGGCCACATACTCACAAGAGTTTCAGGGCAAGGTAGATGAGAATATGGACCAACTGAGGAAGCAAGTGACGCCTATCACAGAAAAAGTAAAAGAAAACATTGATCAGCAAATACAGGAGCTGTATAAAAGCCTGACTCCCTATGCAAAGGATGTGCAAGATGAGCTCCGAAAACAGATCGAGAACATGGAGTTCCAAATGAGAAAAAACGTGGACCAGCTGGAGAACAGAGCTCTGGAGCTCACGGTACAACTCAAAGAACAACTCTACCCTTATGCTAATGAATTAAGAAGCAAGGTCAATGGAGATATGGCAAATGTCAAACAGATGCTGGAACCCTATCTGACCCAGGTAAACCAGCAGATTGACCAGAAAATTACAGAGTTTAAAGGTACAATTACACCAGAAGTGGAAACTCTCAACAAGGCTCTGGTGCAGAGAGTTGAGGACATGAAGAAGATGTTTGAAGAGTACACTGTGACTATCCAAGATCAGCTGGAGTACCGAGAGAAAGATATTCGGGACAAAATCCACGAATTCATCAATAAGGGTGTTTCTAATGAAAACTAAGTTTTCATTAGTCAAACACATTTGTTGATTAGTAATATTGGAAAAATTACCTAAACAGCACTAAACACAAAATGTGCTGTTAGATAAATTAATCAAGAATCCCATAAAATATTACCATAACTTTCCACTCAATGCATCTACACTCAATAATATCTGATGCGTGTATTTATAATGTTCTCCCAGCAATCCTCAGTTCTTCCTCAGTATTATTTGCCTAAAACATTATGTGGAGCTTTTCAAGGAATATTGAAATGCATTTACTGAGATTTCTATAGTTTAGCATTCTAGCTGATGTTGAAATTCAGCCTGTCAGTCCCAGAATTCTCTGAAATAAAAGATAAAACAAATTAAGTTAGAGGGAACCCATATTACCAACAATTATGTTTTTTTCTAAACAATAGCCAGGATCCAGGATGATTCTTTTTAATAGATTGCAGCAATCATCTGAATGCAGTATATGAACTTTGTTAAGAAAAAGAAATATTACAATGCATAGAAAATGTTCCTTTTCTTTTTCTGCTTTTAATGTTTAGGTAAATGTACAATGTGAACTCTATTAAATAAAAAGCAACTTAGCAATGCATAATTTGTACTTGTTCTACTTTTTGTTATTGACATTTTTGTTGAGTTATTCAGGGGTTACTGAATAAAAAAATGGGAATAGATATGAAAAGGGACATAAAAGGAACAGAGGACAGTACAGTATATATGCATTAAATCTGGTATAAATATATACTTTAAACGATAACAATACAGAAATATAATTGCTCCTAAGAAAATGCAAAACAGTATTGAACAACAACAGCTGGGTTTTAGTAATCCAGTTTTGGATCTGGAGGGCAATATAGTGAATTCAATGCATTATAACATATTTTGTGGCAGGGTGTCAATAATGTAATTTGTGTATTTATGTGCATTTATTATATAGTGTGTAGGTGGTCCCCATATTGAAACTATTTGTTTACCCATGGCCTTGAGCCTTATCTTACCTGCAAATTGTGGGTGCACTGCCATTGAAATGTGGTAAACAAAGTCCTGCCTGCTGTGCCTTTGATACAGAATCTATTACAATACATGTTATGATTCTAAATATAATCGATGGATTTAAAGACATCAGAAAATATCTCAAAAAATGTAGTATTTATTCATAACATTCATAGATTTAGAAAAAGGTGTATATTACACAACATAAAACTCTGGACAAACCTTTCTGCTCATTACTCATTGTATACCATGTTGTAATCTAAATATTGGTCTATAGGTAAATATGATATGACACTATCCTTGTAAAAATATAGATTGTAGTAACAATGTTGGTTAAGAGATAACTGAACAAAAAAAAAAAAGCTTTGTGTTTCGCTGAATCCCTCAGCTTCATCAAGAGCAAGGATTGATGACCAATATACAATATAAAATGATCAGTGAGATACATACGGTATATCCATTACATACTATACATTTATTCATACATACATTTATTCATACTTTGTTGCATCTACTTACAAAATCATGAAACACGTTTGATTACTGTCGCATGAATCCTCATGACATATGATTACCTGGTAAGCTGCCTTTCCCATAGGAATCCATAAAATTTTAAATGGTACTCTTAGTGAGTCATTTCATGTCGAGATTAACAACAGGTGCATTTGATGGGCAACAATGAGATGACCCTCAAAACAGAAACAGTTTTATAGGTGGAGGCCATCGACATTTTTTTCCTACTTAACTTTTCTGACTGTTTTTCACTAGTAAGGTCCTTAACCCATCAGCAGGACCGGTATCTGCTCCTTTGTGCAAAGAGGAACAGGATGAGCACTGCCAGAGCCCTACAAAATGACTTCCAGCAGGCCACTGGTGTGAATGTCTCTGACCAAACAATTAGAAACAGACTTCATGAGAGTGGCCTGGGGACCCGACGTCCTCTAGTGGGCCCTGTGCTCACTGCCCCACACCTCAGAGCTAAATTGTCATTTGCCATTGAACACCAGAATTGGCAGGTCCACCACTGGCGCCCTGTGCTTTTCACAGAGGAGAGAAGGTTCACCCTGAGCACATGTGACAGATGTGAAAGGGTCTGGAGAAGTCGTGGAGAATGGTATGCTGCCTGCAACATTGTTCAGCATGACTGTTTTGGTGGTGGGTCAGTGATGGTCTGGGGAGACATATCCATAGAGGGACGCAGAGACCTCTATAGGCTAGACAGTGGCACCCTGACTGCCATTAAGTATCGAGATGAAATTCTTGGACCCATTGTCAGACCCTAAACTGGTGCAGTGGGTTCTGGGTTCCTCCGGGTGCACGACAATGAACGGTCTCATGTGGCAAGAGTATGCAGGCAGTTCCTGGAGGATGAAGGAATTGATACCATTGAATGGCCCCACACTCGCCTGACCTAAATCCAATAGAACACCTCTGGGATATCATGTTTCAGACCATCCGATGCCACAAGGTTGCACCTCAGACTGTCCAAGAGCTCAGTGATGCCCTGGTCCAGATTTGGGAGGAAATACCCCAGGGCACCACTTTCGTCTCATTAGGAGCATACCCCGATGTTATCAGGCATGCATACAAGCACATGGGGGCCATACAAAGTACTGAGTACCATTTTGAGTTGCTGCAATGGAATTTCAGCAAAATGGACTAGCCTGCTGCATCATTTTTTTACTTTGATTTTCAGGGTGTCTGAATTCAGTTCTCTGTAGGTTGATAATTTTCATGTCCATCAAATGATGGAACCAGTCTATATCAGTATAGATATCTAGCATGATAATTTTCCCCATTGAGATCTGGTGTGTTTTCAAAGTGTTCCTTTAATTTTTTTGAGCAATATACATATATATATATATTTGATATATTTTGCTATATAATTTGTCAAACTTTTTTTTACAAATTCTTTATTTAAGAAAAACATGAAAGTAACATACACTGTGCAATCCAATATAAATCAGTTATCCTCTAACAATCGTACAAACTCCCACAAATAACAGGTAATCCAAAGGATCCCAAAACATCTACTGGGAGTGACCCTAAGCAGCAGAGAGGGCAGATATGGAAGCTAAAGCATCAAAGTATCCCAAACATGAAATGGTCAGTAGAGTGTTAAACTCAAAATATGTACAGGGTGACCGGCGGGAGTCGGAAGTTTTTAAAAGAAGTGCTACACTGTAAGTGGTGATGGGAGCGGGACGAGCTAGGCGTCTTTTCCTCCCCACTGGAATGCCAATTCATTCACAATGAAGCATTGGACGTTACAACATCGTTTGTTTGCTTACAACAGCTTTATTTGAAGTGCTAAGTCTATCACAGCAACACACCGGCTATTTTGTCGAAAATTTAATGTTGGTCGACATGGGGCTGTTTCCAGTAGCAACATGGTCCTCAGGTGAGTTGAACATTTCAGAACAACCGGAAACATTATTAATAAGAAATCACCAGGTCCCGCCTGCACTGAAAGGATGCCGGAAAACATTGCAAGGGTGAGAGAGGCACTGGTTAGGAGCTTGGGACGGATGACTGATCAACAGTTGTTGGCCCGAGTAATGGATGATTTCAAGCAAAGGATTGAAAGCTGCATTCAAGAGGATGGTCATTCTCTAAATGACATTATTTTTCATAACTGAATAAGTAACTCAAATGGCATGTGTTGGCCTCTCTTTTGGCAAAAATAAATACATTTTGAGTTGAAAATCTCTGAAGTACTATTTTGTCAAAACCGTCAGAACCATGTTGGTCACCCTGTATAATTGCCCTGAAACCTTGCGCAGTACAGCAAACAAGGGGTTAAACAGGCAGCTGTCTGTTGCTTTCTCACCGTCTGCTTTTAAACCCTTGGTCCCTGCAGAAGAATGCAGTTGCAGGGCACTTGCAGAGTGCCCCATTTACTTGAATGGGTCTTGATTGACAGGCGGTAGCACCCATCAAAAGCAACAAGGGGTGTAATTCCTGCTGCGGCATGTGTAAAACTTTGTCTGCTGCCTCAGCAGCTAAAGGAGGTAGGGATTGGGGGTTGGGGGATGGTAAAACCGTGATTCAACCACAGGGTTTTACTCAACCCCCCCCCCAACTTTAGATGTGAACAAGCCCTTAGGGCGCTGCTGATGATTACAACAAATGGCTCATTTATAGGTTTAGCAGGCACTGCTGCTCCTCTACAAAGTTATCCCTGTGCGTTTGACAGGTGATGAGGAGGTGATATGTTGGCTCCTCATCACCTGATTTAAGCCCATGATTGCCGTGCAATGCACGCGATTGTGAGACAGTAGTACTGAAATTAGAGGTTTAAATCAGGTGTGAGGAGGAAACACTATGCCCGGTGATCTTTGACTTTTCCCATGTTGTTCAGGTAGATATCCACCTCTTTAAGGCTGCCTACCCCTCTATTATATCTATCTATCGATCTCTCTATCTGCATTAGATGGTCAAAGCTACAAATGGTATTTGTTTAATAATATTTATTTCATGTTGTTAGCCATATTTGGCCATGATTTTAGCATACAAGTCTCAGTGGCATTTAGAATAAGGCCAAAGCCTCACATCAGATCCAGATCTTTAAATAGTATGCAGTACTGTCATTACATAAATGAATAAAGTAAGATCCTAGCTTCTTTAAACTGAAAGTATCTCCAGTACTCACAGTTTTTCTTGTATTTCACAGATTTTTGTGTTGCCTCTTTGTTAGAATGCAGACAGAGACCATATCAGGCTCTGTCCACCTTCATATCCCTTCTTATGCATCGTGTTGGTGTCAAGAGCACCAGCAGCCATCAACACATATGCACAATGAATACGCGCAATGACGTCATTGTGCACACACAAGGGACGTGGTCATGCTATGACCTCACATATCCTCACAATGCGGGTGTGTCTACAACGCCATCTGTAGGCTAGGCAGGACATCCAGCTCTGTCACATGAAGACATGCTTTGAGGTGGACCAACTATTGCCCACCACCACATACAGGTCCCAGATAAAACAAACAACCTGTGGTACTCCTGCAT